ATGCTTATGTGCGCTTTACTTCTTTAAGAACTACAGACAAGGTATAAGGCCCTGAACACATAATAGTGCCAAGAACTAAAGTGGTTAGATAGATGACAACAAATCTAACACAATCAAAACAAACCAGTCTCATGAAGAAAATATTTTCATGCTTTCACGAGGTTTTCATGAAGAAAATATTTGAGAGCTTTGATATTATTTTTATCACGCAGCTGTGGCTCACAATGGCCTTTTCCTATTCGATAGCCATTCTGGTCCTTTTCTTCTCTGCCAAAATACTCTGATCTTAAGATATCCCTTGATCTCCAGGAGGATAAGCTGAGGTCTCTAATTCAGTCCCCAAATGTAATTCATGATCAACTTAAGGCAGCTTCTCTTGCTTTTGGCCAGTAATTGTCTTAAAGGTACACACTCAACCCATTTCTACCCAAATGAGATGTTTATGGAAGTCTGCTTGAGGGGTGCAGTGAAACATCTCTGTGTGAATAACGTAAGAAACACCCCCATGTGAATGAAGAAGGAACGGAACACATCTCTATGTGAAAGAGGACTGAAAAGAGCAAAGAGAAAACTGCTTCTCCTTCCCAAATTGGCCTGTCTTCGTGGCATAGCTGTAGGTACGGCAATGTTTTATGACCCTAAGGGAAAAGCTAAGAGAATCCTGGAGATTTTAACCCTGATATCGCTGAGCTGATAAACTAATGCCACCAACTGCCTCCTACAGAACTTCATTATGTGCTAAAAATTAATCATTATCTGTGGAAGCTACTGTATTTAGATTTCCTGACCCTTGTAATGATATACATGTCTAACAAATACTACAGCATAGGCATCATTCCCCTAAGGATAACTCCATTGGGAGTGAGGGAAAGCAGCAAGGAAACTTCTGGTCAATACCACATTTTAGTCAAGTGCACTGGGTCTCTATTATATTAGTACTACCTGGTAGAATCAGGACAAAAACTGAGGTCTGAATGATTTCCTATTAATTATGGCTACCTTCACACATACGGTCAGAACCTGAGTATGCAGTTGGTCATACGGTCAAGACGGTGCCACTTGGGTATTAATGAAGCAAAGTGGGTGGTTTTGACAAACTAAATGTATGAGGGTCTTTCTGATTCTCCCTACCTGAGAAGATTTTTCTTTTATTCATCCATAACACGAATCTGTGAAGAGCTATGTGATAAAAGATAACATTATCCGAATATGCAATCAGGCTATAATTAACCTGAAATGACAATTATAAATAACACTGTGTCCCAGAGTTTCCAAGAAACCTGACATACACAGTTTTTGGGTATGTTGAAGCACTTCCAAGAAAAGTAAAAAATGAGAAATCTTTTAGAAGTCTTCAATTAAAATGTGTTTTAGTAAAAATGACTTTCATTATGTGTTTTGGTGCATATTACTAGAAAACATTTGTCCCCATCTTCACACCTCTAATTGTTTTAACTACCAATTACAGCTTTTCAGAATTAAGACTTTCTGCCTGGGACAACCAAGTTGGTCATTTGAAATGTGAAGAAAATACCATGTATGAGGTTTGTGTACTGAAGAAAACAGATCTCCACAGCAGGATTCCAACGTAGGAATTTCAGGTCGTGCTATCACCTCTCAGGCCGGTGGTAAGCACCAGGCTGGATTTCTCCTCTTTTCCCCTTTCCTTTCTCCCAGATTCTATCTGTTTCTTTTTTTTTTTATCCATGCCTCCCCCGCCCCCTGGCGCCCCCCACCCCCTGCCCACTCCTTACACTTCACATACTTTCTGGGTTTAGGAAGTTGGGAGTATTGTTTTAGTGAGAGAAATGCCCTTCTTTTGGTATTCAAATGATATGATAGAGTGCAAAAAATTTATCATATATTCTGTTTATGTCTTTCAAACGGAAGCAAAATTTCAAACCAACTACTGATCTACCTATGCTCTGGCCATGGGTAAAGTTGGGCAATTATAAAAATCTATTAAAAAGGTAGGTATTAGGAGAAAAACAACACAATAGACATAATGCTGTCACTTTATGTGGAAGAATAAGCAGCCACCGGGGTGCCTGGGTGGCTCAGTCGTTAAGCATCTGCCTTGGGCTCGGGTCATGATCTCAGGGTCCTGGGATCGAGCCCCACATCGGGCTCCCTGCTCTGCAGGGAAGCCTGCTTCTCCCTCTCCCACTCCCCCTGTTTGTGTTCCCTCTCTCGCTCTGTCTCTCTCTCTTAAATAAATAAATAAAATCTTAAAAAAAAAAGAATAAGCAGCCACCTTTGTCAACTCAGGTATAGAAATGATTTGATAGGCTAAGCAAAATGGGTGGGGCCTTTATTCACTTCCTACAGGTAGGCTCACACACATAAAGATGCCATGATTAACAATTGAAATAATAATTTGATTTAAACCATATACTTTATAAAGGCAGGGGACATATTTTCTTGTTCAATAGAGTATCTCAAGTACACAATACTGCCCGTCATAGGTAGCAGTTAAAGGATATAAATTTGACATTATCTCATACCCATGAGTTGCACATAGATCATTAATCTTATAGAAATGGCACCCAAGCTAGTTCAACAGGAAAAGGCAACCACAGTTAACACCTGCTTCTCAGAGAGCTTCAAAAATCACACCTTCATTGTCAGGTATCAAGGTGTCATTCAGATCCTTCTGCTGAAAAGATTTACTTACACCTTACCGAAGTCTGCCATATTATTACAATAATGGAACTGTTTCATTCCATATTTTAAGATTTTCACTTAAAAACCCATGAAAATATAAGACTGTAGTTGATGACCTAATTCAACTGCATCCAATGGGCATGGTGAAGAGATATGGGGATGACAGCCTTCTTGAGAATGGAGACATCTTAATTGGCCAACAGGCTTTGGCAGGTATGACTCCAAAAACAGATTTCTGAAAAGTTATAATGCTAGAAAGGAGAAGGGGAAATTGAAGGCAGTGCTGTTGGACAAGAGGCAACTCTCCCTCCTGCAACACAGATAGAGAAGGTGCTAATCGGAGAAATAACATAAAGGCTGATTGTGGAGAAGGAACGAGACGTGGAAATAAAGTCCCCTCACGACGGACAACTATGGCGTAAAGTGAATGCAGACGGCGCCACTCCTGGTACTTAATCAAAAGGCCGAGCGGAGTCACTGGAGCCGGCATAAAGTCATGTGTTAGAACAACAGCTGATCTGTATTAGAGAAGATTAACTCGCAGTGCCATGGTGGAGGGCCCAGGATTATTTTATGTACTTCCATTGCCTTACAAGCCGTCAGCACAATTATTGCCCTCCGATCTGAATGAGTGATCTGTAACCACAGCTAAACAGCATGCTGCTTAGGGGCCTAGGAGCTTCATGAAGATGAATTTCCATACCATCAAAGTGCTTTTAATGGGCTCCCTGATCCAACCACAAGGCCTGTTTTGCAAGTATAGAGAAGTCAGGATGAAGGCTTCCTGTCCAAAAGGATTTGGTCGGTTGTCACTTGACAATTCCCAGCCAGCACAGGGGAGGAGAGGGGGGAGATAGGTAGAGTTGTCTCTGCTTTGGAGGATTAAAAAAAAAAAAAAAGGGTACAGATGCTCGCTGAATGCAACCAACTGCTGTATCCACAGCTGAATTCAATGCGCTTAACAAATAACGGCAATTTAGCTATGCTTGCGAGGAATAGCTTGAGTCACTTTGCATTAGCATCTGGCTGAGTGTTAAACTCATTTCTACATGGGGAGCAGAGAAAAGGAATTTCTGTTCAAGCATCCTTTCAAGAATGTTTAAATATTTGAATATAAATTCCTTTATGCTTGCTATCATTCCTTCTTGGAGCTGTCACTTTGCTTTTCCCCTTCCCTTCTGGTGCTTAGCTAGAAAAATTTTGTTCCCTCCTCGCTGCACCCCAGTATCGCTCTTCCTGCACTGTGTGCCTGCCAGGGATGCATCCCTAACCACACTCTGCACTCCCCTCCAGAAACAGAGCGGAATTGGAGTCATTTCTCCATCCTTTTGACCCATGTTTGGACCAGAGGAACAGTACAGTTGTGAGGGGATCACACATAGATTTCACCTCCACTATGCAGATTGTGAGCTTCTTAGGGACTGCACATCAAATTCCATATAAAACCTGGGGAACCAGAAAGCTACCCAATTAGCAAGCTGCTCATTCTGGACACTGCTGTTTGTCTCGTGAACTTCCCATGATGGTTAACTTTCAAGTTATTGCTAAGTAGCTGATCATTTTTTTTCTCTGATTTACTGTATCTCTTTAGCAACAGGATTGTGAAAACAAGACCCAGTAACATGTTAAAATTTCAATTCAGAAATATCAAATATGACCAAGATAAGTACATCACTCCAAGCATTCTGCAACAACATACTCTTTTTCTGAGTAAAATACAGTGTAGCTTCAACAAGGGAGTTTGAAATTATTACATCTCAAATAAATTCAGCAGTTTCATTGGGCTTAGGTATAATAATAATGTCCAAGTTTTAAAAAGCACATTTTGTTTTATAATAAAATCAAAATTTCCAATTGTGCAGTCATCTAAAACTTGACAGTGCTTTGCATTGGAAACATATTATGACAGGCTCAGGATCCTAGTTACTTAGGCTATGAGCATGGGTATCATCCAAGCTTATGCTGATTAAAGAAGATTCAGCATTTTCAAATCCAGCTCATCCCCAAATACAAGTTAAGCATCTCTGTAAAGCAAAACTTTCACTCAGACTCAGATATTTCAAATGCCATTCCATTTTAATGCAATCTGATGGCAGGAAGGGGGATATTAATTGTCAATAAGGTTTGGAGATGGATAGAAGAGAATTATAACTCGTCTCGTTTCCAGATGGTTTTGATTAGGATGGGCATGAAGATTTCTGTACTCCTGACAGAGAGGGGGGAAAAGGGAGGGAGAACCCTCATTCTGAGGTGGTGAGAAGAGAGAAAACAAAGGGAAAAAAAAGCATTTAGGCAATTTAAGCAGTTTTGGAAAGTCATTTATTTTATGAACTAACCTTTTCTGTCCGACAGTTATTGAGACCCAGACTATTCACAACAGCCACCTTCCCGTCAAGCACCTGCTGCTCCCGCCGAAGCTGCTCCTTCATCTGCCGAGCCTCTTGGATTGCCTTGGTGACAGCATCATGGTCATTTAAATAACCTGAAGATGTGACAGAACAAAGGCTATGTTTGGTACAAATGCATGGATAGGTTAACCTTTAACCATAAAATTCATGTCTTTTTGGGCGGGGTAATGGCTAGTGGCTGGCATATAGTACTTTCTCAATTTCATGAGTCTAAAATGAATGAATGAATGAGTAATTGGTAATGCCTGATTCATACAGTCATACGTGAACGTGGTGCCAAGCATCTGTAATGCAAACGTAATATTTAAGGCAAATATAGTTGTTTCCATATGCTTGGAAAGAAGTTTAAATATAATTTTTTTCAGTTATCTGAATATTTTGTAGTGCAAAAATAAAACCTATCTTTGATTTTTTTCATGTAAGGATCATTTGAATGTTACCATAGGATGGAGGTATTGATGATTATTGCTCTAGTTATTGACACTCTCATCGTATTGGAAAGATCAGTTTAGAGTTTGCATATAGCACTATTAGGGTTGTTATATACAGAAAGAATAAATCATTATTAACTAAGTAAAAGAAGATCGTCATCCTCCCCCCACCCCCAATTCCATTGATGGTGAAATAAACTACAGGTGGCAGTGATTTGCTCTGGATACAAACTTGTAAGAGTTAAGGGGCCAAATTTCAAGCACAGAATGGAACCAAGCACCTGTGAATTGTATGATAAGAAATTGTGACTACTGAAAGCCACAGTCACACTTAATTCACACTCTTAATAAGATGGTCAAATGACCAATTTGCGTCTACAGCTCCACAATCCAAAGTAAAAAAAAAAAATTGTCAAAATATTTCTTTTAAAGAATAACAGGTATAAGGAGCAACACTAATTTTTTTAACTTAATTTTAACACTGGTCACTTATTTATTTGATGCACATTATTATGATCGTCTGCACGACTTTAGGTAGAATACCGATGGGAAAAGACTGTTTTGTAAATATTGAAAGGAAAGCTAATATATCATCTTTCACTCTCCCTATCTTTTAAGTAGGGCATAAAATGGCATAAACTGAATCTATAATATGAAATTGCCCAGAAAAGGGACTTGTTTGTGACAGAGGCTAAATCTAACCAGATCCATTGGTGAATTGTGACAGATGGAGGGACTGTGAGACAGAAGGCAGGCACTAATCACACATAAAATGACCGGCTTGCCTCAACATGTTCCATGGATTCCAGCAAACTTTACACCCTAATCCATTTTTAGAACAAAAAACATCTGGGCCATAAATCCTCTAATCTGCCAAAACACGCTATTAAATCCCATGATTTGTTGAAAAACACTAAGATTAAAGAAAGGAAATATAAAATGGCTAACTGCCGTGTTAGGAAAGTGTTATTAATACTCTTTCTTTGTCTCAATTATGAATGTTCTGGTACTAAAGAGCCTTGTCTAATCATGTCAGATTACACATCCTCGCCGTATTGCTAGACTCTTCTATCTGATCTGCTGATTGCCAAAAAACATAAAATACTTTCTTGCTGCTTAAACATTTCTATTGAAGAAGCTGGTGTCAGATTAGTACAGTGCTTCAGTGCTGGAGATTTTCAAAATGATCCGTGCTTCCCCGCGCCCCCCACCCCCCGATATGCACAGACTAGACCTCATCCTCTGATCTCCTTGAAGCAGAAAGATAAGTCCCAGTGTAGGAGACAGCAAGAGGAGCCTTGAGAGCGACTATAGGTTTTGCTTTTCAGAGCTAAATTCTTTGGAACATATTCAAAGAACAAAACATCCTTGCTCATTACAAATACAATATGAATCATGAAAAACTATTTAGACCTAGGTCAAGCCTTTAGGGTTAATGCTTACTTTAAATTATGTTTGTTTTTAACCTTCTATTATCCTCAGCATCCTGTCTTGGTTCTCCTGAACAACCTTCTTAATATATCATTCTTGAACTGATTCTGTTCATGTACACTACTACTCTGGAAAGAAATACGGCCCGTATAGGGCAGTGATGGTCTCAGGATATGTTCATTTAGTAAAAGATCTTAAGAGGATCAGCCTGATTTTCCTATGCTCTAACCCCTGTTTATGTACAACTTGGCATTATGCATTTTCGCAGTCTATTTAACTCCTCCAGAGCACAAATACATTTTGAAGTGGTTTGGCACATGGCGTTGAATAAAAGTATGAATTCTTTATGTTTTTAGGTGCTGCCAAGATAACGTTGTGCAGGAAAAATGATTAATATAGATTCAAAAGGGATGCAAATTATATGGGGGTGAATAACTGACAGACATATGTTCCATAATGTCTATTTCCAGTTTGAGGTGTGTGTTCCTATGCAGGTGGAAATAGGCGTCCACTTTAAAATAAACCTTGCTTTTAGAGACTCTTGAATTTTAGTTAAAATGCTCTATGAAATCTAACATTTGTATCTGCTATGTTAAATTTTAAGGCCATTTATATATTACAGAGTTGAACCATAACAGGATTGTGTGCTGGTTCTTCCCATTTTGTTCTCATCACAGTCACTAAATTACCAATCTTGCTGATTCCCTCTCTCCTGCCAAGTGGCTTCAACTCCGATTTTGGAAAGACCGATAAGGCTGAGCTCTCACCTTCCTGCCCCACCCCCACCCCGACTCCTACCCCATGCTAGTTTCAAATCTGTCTCCATTTCTGCCCATTGTCTCCTCCTGTTTCAGTGAAAATGGTGCCCCTACTTTGATTCAAGGCAAATCCCCTCAACTCGTGCTCTAGATTTCTATATGTCTCCATTGGTCATGCTCTTTCACATTTATGTCATCCAGATCTGAACTTCCTCACCATCTCTACCACTTCAATTTGTAAGTACTTAAGTTTTTCCACCTGAGATGAGCAAATAAAGATTCTTTCAACTTTGTGTTGCCCTCTCTTTCCAACTGTCTCTCTTTATCTTCTAAGATTCTTATCATACTCTCTCATTCCTTCCTCACTCTTCCATTTCTGCTACAATTTTGCTTCTGCTGCCCTTGTTCTTTTAAATCGCCAAATCCAAGGGACACTTGCCATGACTTGCAGAATGACCTCACTGACAATCCCCTCATTATAGAAACTCCTTTCTTCTTTGTTTCTCATCATAACATGGGATCCCCTTTCCTCTCTGCCTCCTCCAGCTTCATAGCCTTGCCTGAGATCTGTTCTTCATCTCCTCCTTAGATTTGGTCCACAGTTACAATCTTCAGAAAAAGTTGCCGTTTTGGAGTTGGAAAAGTCTGAATTAAAACCGTAACTTTGCCACTTACGAGCTCTATAAATTGTACATGTTGTTTTACCTTTTAAAATCTCAATTATCTTATTGGTTAAATGGAGATAACATTCACTAGATAACATAAATGAGTTAATACAGTCTTGCATAATAAATGGTCCATGAAAGTTATTCACTGTCAGTTTACTTACAAAAGGGCATAGTGAAATAGATAGGATTTAGGCATTGGATGCAGATGGGTCTGGGTTTCTATTTCTTGGGAAGTGTGATATTTGCCAAATTATAACAATCTCATTGGGTTACCATTCCCATCAACTGCAAAATGAATGTCAGGTTGATGGAAGAATTAAACAAAATAACACATCTTGTGAAGGAGTACATAACACCTGGTACCTGAGGAGGCAGCAGATGTTAATTCCTTTCTTTTCTTTTCTCTTTCATTTTCTCTATATGTTCACCCTCAGCAGTCTTATTGTATGACTTTGACCATAATGATAAAATATGTGAGGGGGTATAATTTCTTGTTGGTACAGAGGTTCAAGGAAAGGGAGTCATGCCATACAAACCCCCAAATGATTACTTGATAGATTTTATTCAGCTTGCATTATATATATAGGCACCAACTGCATCATAAGATAGGATCAGAAGGTGGCTATGTGCTTAGGAGAGGTTTGGTGAGCCTCAATCTAAGGAGGGAAGTGGGAAGGCAATGGTCAATATGGTTTCCAGTTAGCACTTCAAATGAGATTTGGGAAATGTAGATTAGGGATCCTTAGCGTAAGAAATTTGCAAGATTCGGGCGCCTGGGTGGCTCAGTTGGTTAAGCGACTGCCTTCGGCTCAGGTCATGATCCTGGAGTCCCGGGATCGAGTCCTGCATCGGGCTCCCTGCTCGGCAGAGAGTCTGCTTCTCCCTCTGACCCTCCCCCCTCTCATGCTCTCTCTCTCTCATTCTCTCTCTCAAATAAATAAAATCTTAAAAAAAAAGAAATTTGCAAGATTCTGTAACCTTGTTAAATTCACCACAGTTTGATTTTTTATGCCTTGGTGTTTCTTCTTAATCACTACCAACAAAATTCTCAAAATTAAAAAGGCCCCTTTTATATATTTTCAGGCACAGAAAAAAAAGGGACAACCTGGAAATAACCTGTGTTATTTCATTTAACTCTTCCATCAACCTTACATTTGTTCCATTACAAAAATGGTAAATGGTATAATATGGCATCTATTTAAAGTTTATATTTTTAAAGTGGCTTATTGTTATTAAATTCCATTGTCAGCTTAGGAAACTCATGAGCAATCTTAGGATAAAATCGAAACAGAAAGAGTTCTAGCTGCTCCAGAAGGGAAGAAACTGTTAAAAGGCAGAAGGAAACACGGGAAACCACTTATAATGGGTTCAATTGTGTCTTTCAAAAAGATATGTCCATGGCCTAAACCTGGTATCTGTAAATGTGACCTTATTTGGAAATAGAGTCTTTGCAGATGTAATTAAGGATCTTGAAATGAGATCGCCCTGGATTTCAGGTGGGCCTTAAATTTAGTAACTGGTGTTCTTAGAAAGGAGAGAGGATCTGACACAGAGACACAGGGGAGAAGGCCCTGTGAATATGGAGGCAGAGACTGGAGTTATTCATCATCCTAAGCCAGGAACACTAACGACTACCAGTAGCCACAAGGAGCTAGGTGAGAGGCATGGAACAGATTCTTTCTCAGAGCCTCCAGAGGAACTAACCCTGCTGACATCTTCACTTTGGATTTCTAGCCTCCAAATAGTGAGACAATCAATTTCTAGTTTAAGTGACCCAGTTCATGGT